TATCTAGTATCGCTTTTGCTTTCCCTACCATCACTTCTCACTGAGCGAATATCAAATAATATATAGTTTTGGCCAAATAAAAATTTATACGAAATTCATCTAGGATATGAGATAATGTGCTAGACCCATTAATAATAGATGATTTCGAATTTTTGTTGTCCAAAATTATTCTCTTCTGCCGCTACAGCACAAGATCGGATACTTTCCGGGCACGCCTCGTAGACGTACTAATTAGAAAAAAAAATGTATTTCCATTTAAATTTGCTAACATTTTGGATGCGTTGTTCTTATAGAATTTCTTTATAGTGAGAGTGTGACGTGTTTAGATTTTACGCAGTTAAAAAAGAGAGCATATAAGAATCAGTAATTTATGTTCATTACACAAAGTGAAATGACATTTTTATAACTTCCATAAATAACCGTTTTCGTCACACTGTCACGGCTCTAAATTTCCAAAATTTTACCGTTAAAATTGTCAAGATGAGTCATTGACAACACATTTTATAATTTACAGCTTAAATTATTATAAAAAGATTTACGAGATTTTTACCTCAATTTATATTGTGTTTTTATCTTTCAGATTTACGTTTTCCGATATTTTGTATTATTATGTCGCAGTGCGACCAGGAAAATTTATTTTTAAATCCTTTTGTGTACTATATTTGCAAAATAACGCAACGAAATGATATACAGGGTGGCCCAATGCCCTTTAGAATTTTGACTATTAATAATTTTAGATCGTAGAGAGCAAAATCGTCACTTCAACGCTCGACCCTTATACATTGCATAAAGAAAAAGGGGACTTACACATTATTGGAAACCTCTTAAATTGATTTAAACAGTTTAAATTTAAGTGAATAGAAAAAACATATTTTTATTGTGGAACATTTGTGAAATGATCGCTGCTATCCGATATTTACAACATACAAACATTTAAGTACTAGGTCACTGCATTCTTATAGTAAATGTTCAAAGCTTTTATACAATAGTGCACATTCTGCTGAAAACGTGCCACTATATTTCGAAATTATTCTGGGGTGATTTGTGGACATTCTTTGATATAAATCTTATAGTATAGCAAGTGGGGTGGAATTTTACTTTTTAAGTTTCCCCTCCACCAACACAATCCAGGTTAGTGGATTGAGAGCAGAGGTTCCATAGAATGGTCATCATCGTAACCACATTAGACTTTTTTGTGGTGCCACTTTTTCAGTCAATTGAAAAATTCGCATAATTAACTAGATTAAATTTTTAATATTTTAGCTAAGTAACAAGTATGGGCTTTGTAATATCTAATTTCACACGTTACACAAACACTCTGTTATAAGAAAAAAATTGAATAATTAATAATTTTTCAGAGGAAAAATTAAGAAGAAATAAAGAAACAAAGTTAGGTATGTTTGTTTATTCACATCAAACCAAACAACAGCAATAATGGCGCGATTTTGTCAAGACGTCAAAATGAGTTGTTAAAAGCATGCTATAAGCTTCTGATATTTAGTATTTTCATCTAATTATTTATGAAGAAGGTTCCACAAACAAGTAGGACAAAGAGAGATACGGGTCATGTACGTAATAATTACAGCTATCGTTCTACAATAAAAATATTTTTTTTTCTAAAACCACTCACTTGAATTGAAAAAGCTTTTAAAATTAACAGATTGCGGGCGTTTCTTAAAATCTACGGTATTCTTATTATCCAATAGCCCCATGACAAGTTTTCTATGAGCCACCCTGTATTTTATGAGTTTACGCGAATCGCCATACTAATGTGTTTTCTGACATAAACCATTCGCTTATTTTCGTAGGTGATTTAATTCGGGTTAGATCCACTTTACGATGAATGTATACCTGCAAAATTTCAACTTGTAGTTTCAGCAAATAATACGGATTTAATTAAGGTTAGGAGGGAGATTATTTATCGAATGAAAACAGTTTTCTAAAGTAATAATTACAACAAATATTTTTTGTTCATAGGTGTTAGATGACGTTACGTATTTATTGATATAAATAAAAATCTAAATATATTATATAGCTCAGTGAGAGCAAAGGAACAAAAATATATTTTTTTTTCGAATTTTGACATATAAAGTGACATTTTTTTTGTAACCGTAGCTAGTGTTAAAATGATATACTTTACGCAACCACTTGCATAATGTTGAACATTATGAAACATGTTTCATTATGTCTGTCACCAGTTGCAAAAAGAAAACAAATAAAAATAAACCCTTTTTGGTTTTAAAACCAATAATATACATTATTAAAAGTTTATATTAAAGAAAGGCTTATGAAAATAGAATTTGGTTAAACTTACAACTTAGTAATAATGTTCTGATGCCTATTTTCCATTCTAAGGGTGAGATTACAGAACGTCTGCAACTTTGCAGATCTGTAAATATGTCGGCAACTTTGAAAATCTGCAAATATGACTGACTTACACATGCAAGTATCAAGTTTTCGTATTTCAAATTTGGGTTTAGTGTTGTTGGGGGTAATAAACCATAATAAATATTGCGAATTTGCAGATATTTTTTGGAATACTTGCATTTGTAAGTCCGCCATATTTGCAGATCTGCAAAGTTGCAGACGTTCTGTAATCTCACCCTAAATCAGCACAAAATAATTAAAACAATACACGAGAAAATAACCAACTTCCTTGAAAACTAAATAAGCAATATAAACACACTACAATGAATATGATTTTCTATTTGTCAATAAAACAATGAAGTTAATTATATGCAAAACAATACAAGAAAGTAATAACATTGGTTACCTAGATGTCAGTAATTTTTTACCAAATCTAGTCAAAATTAGAAAAAAATATTGTATGTAACACGTTACGAAATGCCTTATTTTATGCAACGAGTGAATATTTGCGGGACGAGCAGAGCAAGGTCCCGCAACATGAACGAGGCAACTGGTTTCATAAATAGCTATTTTATTATTATTTGTATATTTGTTATTAAATTTGATAATTATAATATTTAACTGACAGTGGGGTCTATTCTGTAACAATTCCTTTATATTTAACGGCCTTTAAAAATATTGGCGGCCTTTAAGATATTTTCGTATTCGTTAATTTACTTCTGTCATTACTTAAACAGATTTCTTTAAGATAGTTCTTTAATGTATTTTAAAGATCCGTTTAAATAATGACAGAAGTAAAGAAGAAAATATTTTTAAAGGCCGTTAAATATAAAGGAATTGTTACAGAATAGACCCCAGTAAGTACAAATATACCAATTATAACAATTGGTATTCTACAAAATATAACAAACAACAAATTTGTTTTAAAAATTTAATTAATCACTTATTAGAAAACAGAAAGCAATGTAAATTAAATAAAAATCCGGATGTTTGAATGCATGAGTAGTAACTGATTATTTTATAATTTTATACATATGAAGGGCACAAGAGTAAAAAGATGAACGTCACAAATAGTAGACTTATCTTAAAATATTAATAATTCAAATATTTTTTGAAGTATATATACATGCTTATTTTATGTACAACGACTATTGCAATTGAATTATAGTTCTTCCATTCAATTGTAGAACATAAAAAGTCATTCGGAACCTTTACCGACAATTTTGTTTGATCTGCCATAGGCGTAGATACCTACCTCATCTTATAAATTTATTTTATAAATACTTTTAATATATATCATAATAATATGCAAGAAAGTATTCGTTAAAAGGAAATCGAATCATTATAAATTTTACGTTATTATACGCCTTGATTTAGACAGATGCACTTAATTGTAGTCTTACTTGGACTTAAAAAAAATCGTTATAGCTCGTTAACTTGTTACAAGTGAATATTAAATTATAAAACGTAAAAAAGCGAGTAAAGTGTACCTGCCTGCAAGGGCGTTTGGTTTAAACAGGGTACCAGACGTGAACTGAGTCCTTTTTATATCCCATTCATTTTTTTTTCTTGAAAACGAAATTTCAAAGCAAAAACCATAAAGGACTCAAAAAATGTCTTGCATCTGTATTTTCGCAAAATTTATTCTTCTTGGAGATTCCGATAGCTTCACAAAAGCTATAGGAAGTCGTTCGTGGTATTTCATATTTGATAACTCAAATTGGTTATCGGGTACTTCAAAATTTCGTGGTCTTTATTAAGGTGGTATTACCGCAGAAACCACAGAATTAGTGAAGGCTCCGCTGTAAGATTCAAGATACTGTATCGAAATTTAATTAAAATAACTTACACTGGTTGTAGTTCGAAATTTACAAATTTTCAATATTGTACATATTTATTACACATTAAATTTCTTAATAATATAGATTGAACTCGAAATTTAAAATTGTAAAATACTAGCAACTTATCTAAAATTGTAGGTGAAGTAAACCTGTCCTGTGTGTACCATGAGAAGAAATATATTTTATCTCTTCAATAAAACTTGGATATTTAAATAGACTATATTTAATCTTATTCTATAAAGAGTTTATACAAGTTGGGTCCAATTTTTAGAAATTAATGATTTATTTAATTTGCTAAATTTTATAGGTTTCTGAATCTAGATAATTTGCGCAGTTCTGAAATAACTATTTGGTTTAGGAATTTTAATTGATATATTTGCAAAATTTCTAATATTATACCTATGTATTATTTTTTATTTTTTAAAATTCATGACATCCTTTTGAATGTAACAACATATTAAGGTGTGCATGTATAGACACCTAATGTGAGTATTTTTCGGCACGTACGTACATTATAATACAAAGTTCTTCTAATACGAATTTTATTAATTTTATTGCACTTTAGATATTAACGCCTAGTTTTGCAAAAATAAATATTGCTCGTACATAATAATCATGAAGGACTTTTTATAGAGAATTTTATCAGCTTTTAATTAATATACTACCAAGCGAGAAAAAAAAACATGCGTTATAGAAACGTTTGCACACATCAGTTCGTTGGGGACTTTTCGCTATGTTTATGGTGTCCTAAGCTGCATTTTATCACTGAATTATATTATAATTGTAAATTACCTGATTGTACAGTAATCGATCGTACGGTTGGATAACTCCCAAAAATAAATGCCCATCCTGGGAGCCATTGTTCGGTTGAGAAATTTGGTTATAGTTATAATTATTACTATTTGGAGAGTTGGGATAGTTACCGGGTCCATTTGGCCTTAACTGATTTGAGTTGACATTACTGGGGTTGTGGACGGAATAATTCGTCGCCAAATGTGTCCCGTTGTAGGTCGGTATCAGAACTTGCACCGGATGATAATAAACTTGACTTAAACAGCCGTCGAAAACGGCTGCTGTCAAAAATAGCACAACCAGTAGCACTCTCATTTCGATTTTTCTTTTTCGTTAACTACCTGCTGCTTTTGCAGTTTCATTTTTATATAACGTGAAATGATGTTATTTTTCTTTCTTGCTTTATTAATGAGATAAGCAGTGTAAATTTATTTTGAGTCATGAGTGGTTGTGTAAATATATAATTTCGAGAAAAATAGGCTTTCATAATTTTGTAAAATGTTATGACACGTGCCTGTCGTATTTATCTTAACAAATAAGATATACGTTCGCTGTATTTGTATAGGAAGAAAAGTTTATTCTTTAGTTGTATTCCTAGTAAAAAAGGATTATGCTTCAACTTCAATTTTTTTAAACTTATTTGCCACTTCAAGTCGCAAAACTTTTATAAAGGTTTAATTATTTAAATGATGTAAATTCATATTTGTTTGAGTATTTCCATGTTTAAATAGACAAATTATATGATGCGGCGTTAATTTACTATAATAAAAAATAAAATAAATTGCATTTTATTTCAAGTTTGAAATTAATGCAAAAATATAATTAAGTAAAATCAAATAAAGATATAAATTGGCAAAATATTTGACTAGTTTCAAATCACAAAACAGTCAATATGGTTGTTTTATGATTTGAAACTAGTCATATATTTTTCCAATTTTTTTGCTTTATTTGATTTTCTTCATTACATTTTTGCGCTACTACAAAGTTAAAGCCCGCTCGAGGCGGCCATATTGAATTTTAGTACCACTCCAATTTGATAGATGGCAGCACATCGACTCAGAATTTTACCATTGAGTTTCCCATCTATTCACATTAGTAATCTATGGGTAAAACAGTGCGCGCTAGCTCACTAGGATAGAGGTGTATCCATCTGTCCAATCACGGCAGGCAGCCGATTCACGAGAACCACTCTTTATTTTCTCTCACGTGCAAATATATTAATCTTCTCACCTTTATTTCGAAGGTTCCGAGTTAACATATTTTATATTCATTATTATCATTTACCACTTGAAAATACAAACAAAAAAGATCCTAATTTGTAGATTTACTTTAATTTACCTACTGAAAAACCTAATGGAACCCTTTTCACGTTCATTGCAATCACAGTTTTCTCCATTATCTTGGCCTAAAAATGTATTTTATCTTGTCCAGGAATACTCTTCTTGGAAACCATTTCACTTTATTGGAGTTTATAGTATATTTATTATATCTTGAACATCACTGTTTATTCATTTTTTAGGTATTGTTAATGTTGAAAATTAGACTCCAGTTATATTTTTCAACATCTAAAATAAATTTATTTTCCCGATTACTCTTCTGACATGTAAAAAAAATATTATTTTGCTGTACATTGTTCGCCGTAATTACACTAGCCAACCTAGAGGATTTTTACTCAACCCTGATCAATTTTACCCACGTTTTCTTTTGTTTTTAATTAAGTGTTGGTTCACCTTATTGTCCCAACGTAAAAAAGAAGTAAAACAAAAATGTACTGCATTTATACATATTATGCACATAAGTCACTGAACTATGCAGCAGGTATCTTGTTATGTGTGATTGAACGTCGTTATGGTCCATGAAGGTAGAAGGTAGGGAGGCGCTGTCACGTGGTATAGCAGGAGCGGAAGTTGAAAAGGTTTTTCGCAGTTCTCCTACTTCATACACATAAATTAACAGTTTTGCGGCGGAGCTAACCGAATTGGACGTACAAAATTACTTTATAGATGTTAATAACAATTTCGGGTAAATAATTTAATAAATTGTGAATAGCTGTTGAAATTTTGTGGGATTATGATTTGGATATTATAATACTTGTTTAATGTTTAATAATTATTTCTAGTCCATTAATACATACGATTGTCCGGTGCCGCTGGTAACAATTTAAAATTACTTATTCCATGAAACGACACTGGCAGGCACACATTACCGCGAAATTCTCGAAGCGTCCGACGTGGTTTGACGTTTCTCCTCTCTCTACCTATCAAAAGCCTGTCTAACTTCTGCCCATGCGGTATAAAACTACAGTTTGTTTTTGTTAGGACATTTCGCGTTGCATGACGTACGCGTACGGCAGAATCTGTCGCGTTCAACTCACGTCAGTTTTAGTAAAAGTGGTTTGTTAGAATATAAATCAATTCAACTTGTTCTGTTGATACATGTTGCTGAAAATGACTTCCTTGTGAATTAAATAACGTGTAAGGGTCTATTTATACTCCCTTATTATTAGTATTTGCATTAGTATTATGATTAAGGATTAAGTTGAACCTTCACAGTGTAATGGGGACATTTATACTCGATTTATGATTAATATTAACATTCCGATTATCATTTTTCAAAAGATCTTTCACATATAACGCCATTTCAATATATAACAGTCTACCTAGGGAAATTAGGACATGTTCTCTGACATTTTTAAAACAAAATTATAAAACGTTGCTATTAGTTGAGCAATGAATACAGTGCTAACGTTAATATATTATTAATTTCAAACATTTTTCCTTATTTAATTGTATTTTAAGTTCCATTGATTTCAGTTTAGATTAAATACAGGGTTAACATTTTTAATCATAAATTAATTGTATATTAAATTTCTTATTTTTTTATATTGTAAATGATGGATACCTTTTGATTATTTTAAATTTATATTTATGTTGAGGTTAAGTTGAGTAGCGCAAGCTAGACTTCGCCTCATGATGTTTATGTGCATTGTATATTACAAGCAAATAAAGGCAATTTATTATTATTATTATTATTATTATTATTATTATTATAATATTTATGCTTAATAATTGACAGGTTAAACTTTTATGTTAAATCTTAAATTTCTTCTTTTCTATCAAATGAATCACTGACGTATTTGGCCTTTGTTTTTAATAGACAACGGATAATGACAATTGACAATACACATATGATTATGTTGTCAGATGTTGTTTATAGGTTTGTTCCAACAAGCTCGAAAACGATATTTCGGCACAAATCATACGGTGTATACATTTTCTGTCTATCAGCAATGTTTACCGAGTATAAAAATGACAAATGACATGTCACTACGAGGAAGCAAAGGCCTCTTTTCTGTCTGATTTGTCTCAAATTTCTGCTTCTTTTTATCTGGTATAAATTTGAGACGTAAATTCGTTAAAATGTCCTTAATTAAACCTATTTTGGAAGAATAATATTTTTATATAAAATTAACCAGTAAAAATATTAATAAAAACACGTTTAAAACTCAAATATCTTAAAAAATATTCTAAGAACACAACTGGCCTCTTACACATTTCGTCAGTAACCAACATTTTGTTGACTACAGAATTATTCCTTATTAGGAAAAAATATTATTAAACAAGTATTAGAAATTAAAAATTTAAAAAAACCGACTTCAAAAACGTGTAGATGCCGTCACAACATCATAACCAAATTTATATGGGACTGCCCCTGAGGTACCCCCTTACTAACAAAAAAAGAATCATATAAATCGGACAAGGTGGTTAAGCATTATCGCTAAACATACATAAAAAATGAAGAGTTTGAGGATTTTCTCACGGACCCAATTATTATATTTTGACCAAATTTATATGAGACCACCCCTGAAGTACCCCCTTTCTAACAAAAAAAGAATTATTGAAATCGGACACCGTGTTGAAGAACTATCGCTGAACATACATAAAAAAAAAATATCGCGACGAATTGATAATCTCCTCCTTTTTTGATTTGTTAATTCTGTAATCGTGCACAACGCCAAACACATCGGTTTTCTATTCAGTCTCAGTCTGTTTAAGTTTTTAGTTTACAATTCGCGACAAGTCAAAGCTTGAGTCGGCCGTTCGCCCCGGCGTGGTTTGGTCTCTAAAAGGATCCGAGACTGATATTGATGATTCGAATACGAATCCTTTAGGATTTTCTCTGCGAATCCGGATCACGGATCCTTTTTTTCTAAAGTATTCGAATCCCGCTCTCGGATCCTCAAAAAGGATTCGAGGATTCGAATCATATGTGATTCGAATCCTCCCCAGCTCTGCATAAGTCGGTTAAAAGTATTAAAAATTAAAAAAAACCGACTTCAAAAACGTGCAGATGCCATCACCACATCTTAACCAAATTTAAATGGGACCACCCCTGAGGTACCCCCTTACTAACAAAAAAAGAATCATATAAATCGGACAAGGTGGTAAAGCATTATCGCTAAACATACATAAAAAATAAAAAGTTTGAGGATTTTCTCATGGTCCCAATTATTAGATTTTGACCAAATTTATATGGGACTACCCTGAAGTACCCCCTTTCTAACAAAAAAAGAATCATTAAAATCGGACACCGTGTTAAAGAATAATCGCAGAACATACATAAAAAAAAAATAAAAAAAAAAATATATATCAATATATATATATCGCGGCGAATTGATAACCTTCTCCTTTTTTGAAGTCGGTTAAAAAGAAGCACTAATGCTAATTATAAAACGAGTATAAATACCCTTTTTGAATATTTAGTCCAGTTTAATGCTTAATTATAATACTAATATAAATACTAATACTAAGGGAGTATAAATAGACCCTTAGTAGCGATTTTTTTAATGAAAGAAGAAGAATTGTTAATTTTTAAGTATTAATGAAAAAAAAAAAGCAATATTTTTAATTATATTATCTTTGTAGCTTCTGCATATCAATTAATATCCTATCCTCTTTAGAAGAAAATTTCGACGACATTTTATCACTAATTAGGCATTCCAAACAAAATGGCTACCCGAAGGAAATGACAGGCCGCTGACAGTGACATATAGGTTGTAACATGACAACTATTAGGCATTCCAACGACCTGTCCAAATGGCTACCAGTGGGTAATGACAGTTTAGATATGGCAACCCTGTTGTCATGTTGTCATTAAAAGGGTCAATGATACATATATAGTTATATAGATTGCTCAAAGCTGGTCGTTTACGAGCGGCCATATTGCCTGGTAAATATTTATTAATTTGAATCGGTTTAGCAAAAATGTGTTTTAAAACCAATTTTTAGCCTTTAGATATTTAAAAAAAATAATTGCTTACAATTTTACTTCAAGGCATAAGCTTATGTTTATTTTGAAAAATATGGATGATCAATCTATGTAACTATCTATTTCATTGACCTTGTCAAATCACCAGGCCTACAGGGTTGCCATAATTTTGCCATATCA